TTCCAACTATCTGCATGCAGTGGTCAGCGGACAGTGGTTATGGTGTAAAACAAAAAACAAAAACAAACAGCAACAGTATTAGTAATTAGAAGCTTTTCACAAAAGTGTCTAGTAAATTAGTAAATAGCTAACACTCTGTATGCTTTTAATACTTAAGATCTAGAGACTAAAACAAATATATCAATATTCAAAAATGTGTCAAGTCTGTGGAATAAGGTTTCCCAAACAAAAGATTATTATAATTTGAGGGTTTTATAAAAATGTACTGTGATGGGATCCTCATACAGTGCAACCAAAACATCAGGTAATGCAAGATTAAGTGTAATTAGGAATCAGATATTTTACCAGCCCATAGCCCCTCCAAAAATTAATTATCAATAGAAAATTAAAAATTTTCCCAAGTATTGCTTTTTTTTTTTCCTTTCCCTGTTATAACAAATATACTCGTTAGGTAGAAATAAGGTATTTTAGAATATAGATGTTGCATTCAACGTCATGTATTAAGAAATAAAAATTAGGTTGAGAACTAGAATACTTTACACTGTTACAAATTCAAGGTTTGTAATATTTTGTATTATACTTGAAAATTACAAGGAAGATAGATTGCTTATGATTCTAGTTTTCTAGGTCATCCTAGCATTTCTATTAAAAGATCAGAGTTTTCCATGTAATGTGGAGACAAAGCAGCATTTTATATCTAAACATGCACAGGTCCTCATACAGAGGAAACAGTTCAAACTGTAACTTCGATTGAGTGTTTCCTAACGGATAAGAATTAAGATAATTTCTGAGAGGCAGAATTGTGTTTTTAAAAGCAAGAAGTAAAATCAAAGTCTTAAACATAATTTCATGCCAAAGTCCAAATATAAATCAAATCATTATCAGATTTTAACACTTGAATATCAAGCGATGTCCAAAAAAAGAGCTAATTCACAAAAACCGTTCATCTGATAGAAGTTATTATCAATATGTGTTCTATTTTTCAGCTAGTACTTTAAAAATTAAAATCAAATATAATTGAAATCCCAAGAAGAATCCTAAATTGACCAAGAAACAAGATACAAAAAGATAATGACAGTTTCCAAGTAAAGGATTTCAGAGGAACCCATGAATCCCCCAAGAGAAAAGCAGCTTTCTTAAATATCCACTCGACAGACTATTTACAGGCCGTGATTATATAGTTGAATAACAGCCTCTTTGGCGCCATTAACAGTCTTCTGAATTGAAAGATATGCTATTGACCTAAATTACTCCCCCACCACCACCAAAAAGACAGAGGTCTTATTTGCCCCTTGTTTATTTAGCCCAGACCTGAGACTAAAAACAGAATACCAGCCTGTCTTAACAATAAGGCAGGTCTATACTCGGTGAAACGGCCAGAATATGGCCCATTTAATGATCATTCAGATTACAAAACGACTGCATTTAGCTGAGGCACATACAGCAAACACATCAGATTGGCAGAGGGAAGCTAAGAAAAACTGGTTTGGTCATGTTTGGGTTCAGCTGTTTCACCAAATCCAGACCATGCCTGGAAAAGACCTGAGAACGAAAATATCTGAAAATGGCAAAAGCGAAGCCATAACCCATGTATACAAAGACACGCATAAACATACTGAAACTTGAACTGCTTATCATTCAGCTCAATCTAGAAACAAATCTATAGATGTATTTGGTGTCACTATTTGAAATTATTTCCTATTGAGATTTTTTTTTTTAAATCAAGTATACCCCTCAAGAGCTCTTGTGTCTTCAAAAATAAAATGTTACCTAGTTTAAAAATCTCAACTTCAAAGATTGTGATTTAAGGTAGAAATAAACTGGTTTCCTAATATTCTAATGAGGACCTTGGCATGTGGCAAACCAGGGTTAGGATTTCAGTGACTAATTTTTCCTCAGACCTGTCTATATAGGCTGTTCCGATATAACATACAAGATGCCCTGTGAACCAGTGATGTACTCTGCCCTCTTTCAGGATTATGAATTGGTATGACAGCGTTTGCAATATTAACAAGGCTTGGTTTTCCATTTCTGAAAACATCTGTTGGTGTTTCAAATATAGATTCCTCCAGATTATCTGTGGCCAAATGATCTACACATATCAACTCGTTTAGGTCCAGAACCACGCTCGCTACAATGAGCAAACCAGTCCAGCCGGTGCAGAGAAAAGGTTCTTCTCCACACCCTGATTTCAAGTTCATTCATCTCTGACAGTTACTCAAGCTGCTTTTTCCTTTAATATTCACACAACTAAGCAACAGTTTTCATTATTATCTTTTCATTTCCTTTATATTCTCTTATTCCATGCTAATTTTAGCAAAGTTAATTAAACAATAGTCTCCCGTTTGCTTTGGAAACAGGTTTTGAGCACATACCTGTGTATAGTGTCATTTTGCTTTACTGTCCTTACAGGAACCCAAGAGGGTGGTGGACATTTCTTATTGAGCTCATATTTTGTTTTTCAATTCCATATAAAATGACTAATGCAGGTGTTAAAGGGGAAATGTACAATTTATGTTTCAGTTTAACTGTAATTCTCACATGTTTTCCATGTGACTAGAAAGCAGTTTTCCACCAGGTACTCTAGCCCTTTTTTACTTCAAGATGAAATTTTTGAGTACTTATAAATCATTTTCATAAAGCAGTGGTTATAATCCTATCTACTTTAAATGAGGAAACATTTTTAATCACTGTATCAATATAATAAAAAAAGTAAGCATAGAAAAATATAAGATATGCAAGCAGGATGCAAACCTTGGTTACACGTAGGTAAACAACCATAGGTTAGGTTATAATTTATGCAAATTTCACTGTCATAACCATGAAGAGGTCAAAAGACAAGAGGATTGTTTGTCACTGAATAGCATCCCTGTCACCTTCAAAAAGAAATTACATAAGCCATTATCTTTGTTTTAACAACAGAAAACACAGTACTAATTAATGTCTCCCCAAGGTAAGAAAGCTTTAAAACATGCTTATCAACAGGCTTTCTTTCATAATAATATTTGCTCCAGAAAAAATATTAGCAAATAAACTGTATAATCATGGCACTCTAATGAAAGTGCTGGACACATGTCAGGTGCACATATGTATGCTGAATAAAACAAAGGTCATACAATAAAGACTTATGGTATTGACTTTGAGGCGAAAGACGTTTTCAATGTCTTCTGAGAAATAGTCACTTTCCATTTTCTGAGTAAAGCAATTCAAGAGAGTCCACCCCACATTTCCCCAAGTTTTAGCATTTTAATCTGAAAAATGTGTATATAACTTAAAGTGGGCATTTCTTTGGTCATTTGAAAAGGAAACAATTTGAGAATAAATGAAAACAAGTTCTACATAGCAATAGAGTGAAAATCCAAAGGTGAAGAACTTCATACAATCTTCATTCAATTCAGCCCCACTGACACAAACAAAAACAACCATAAATGAGCCAGAAACACTAACATCATCTCATTAAAAATACGACATGATTATTCATATATTAGTATCTGTATTTGCACTCTGATTTGGTTATACAGATTTACTACTGTGTTGCCTTTAGGTATTTGAAAAAATCACACTGAATGTACACCCTGCATTTTCCTAAAGCATTTCACTGTGAACAATAACTTGAGTGCAAAATGAGAAGAGATTCATCAGAATTTCAAAGTAAAACCCTATGCATCACCTAATTCTATTGAAAACGACGCTCATGGCAAATTTCACTTATCACTCGAAACATATTTCTGCCCTTGGATACCAGAAGCAAATTAAAAAACATGCTGTTGTTCTGCTCTGGCAGAGCTGCAATGCGTTGTGCTTAAATAGTTAGCATTCAGACTTAGCCTGCTTAAAGTGTAATATGGAATCAATATGATCGGAGAATTCAGGGCAAAATACATCAGCAATTACTGTACTGAAACAGCATTAATAGGATAGAAAAATAATTTTAGAATATATTTTTCCAATGAAGAACTATTTTCTTCTCCGGTCAGCTTTTTAAATTTAAAATATGCATGTTTTCAATGTAAATGTGTATGTACATACATTATTTATATATACACACACACACATTATATACATACCACACAAATAAAATCACTGTATGTGTGCATACACATATATAATATATACATGCATGCACAGTGATTTCCTGATCTCTAGATAAGAAAAGGTTTTTCTGTACAGAAAGATAGACAATACATTTCCCCATTTCAAAAATACTCCTTTTTACAAAAAATTTTAAAAATCAATCCTGGAGACTATTTTTGGAAGCACCTTAAGATGTGAACAAAGCAACATATTCCATTAAAACTGCTTTTTTCTTCTGAGAAAGTCTTTTCAATGGACCCTACTTGGAAATCTTTTGAGACTCACACAGATTTTATTAAAGCTCCTATTAAGCAACCTTCTTTATATCAAATTAAGCTGTATAATAACAATTACAAGGCAGTTTGCATAGTTAGTATCACATAAAATAATGGAAAAAATAACTAACAAAACCGCATATTAAAAATATTGTTAAAATATTCATGCAAGCAGACACAAGACATGTAGCTTTAATGTAAACTTAGTTAAAGCTTGTGACTAGGGTCTATTTGTGTCTTCACCCTCAAAATCCGAAATATTCATGTAACTAACTGTATATTAGGTGGAACACCTGCAAATTGCTGTCAATTTTTAGTAAGTGCACAAAAACCTCTACCCTGAGACTCACAGGATTAATTAGGAGCCTTCTATTTTCAGTCCACCCTGTTTGTAATGGAATTCTCTCTAATTATGAACAGTTTTGAAATATATAGTAAATTTGAAAAAATACATGTATAATTTTTTTTTCTGAGTAATCTATATGAGTATAATAAGGCAAGAACTTGAAGGTCTGAGGTTTATTTTATAATAAATTTATCTCTAGTGTTGAAAGTATTACCGATGTCCCCCCTTATTTCCCCTGTTGGTTTATTTTTAAGCAGATAACTCTAAGCTCATTATGTTGGTGCCAGGAAAGGCTCACTACTTACAGATTTGGCTGTGGCAGAAATATACTGGACAACCATCTCGTGTTTGGTGGTAAAATCTTTGTTTCGTAAGGGAGCTTTTCGTTCTTCATTAAGGTTCATGTCTTCCTGTTAGAAAGAACATTATGGGAGAGCATTAGCAAATTTCTGCTTAAGAGTTTCAAAAGTGATTAGTGAATATTAATATTCTGTCTTAAAATAGTAAGTCATGATGAGACTAACAACAATCGTTATTTTTGTGGATTCTTCGCTTTTATTTTCCACTCTAGATACCATACTCTTGTACAAAATCTACCATATATTCATGGTTCTTATATGTCTACATAGTCAAATAATAAGCAGAAAGAAAAAAATTTATCCCACAGAATTGGTCATTTATAGCATAGACAGACATCATACAGCCTTAGCAAAGCTATTTATTTGCCCCGATAGCATAAATAAATAAAATAACATACTTTATTATTTGGCATATGCTCCATTAGGATCACTATTATTTAAAGGAGCAAATACGATTTGTAAATTAACAGAAAATATATATCTATATCACTGAGGAAAAATTAATGAGAAATTTCTGCATTTGAAAAAGCAAAATTTAAAAAAAGGTAGAAATATAGTTAGCTGTATTGGGATGACAAAAATCTCTCACTGGAGGAAAAAAATGTTCCGTTACAAGAACACAGTGTTTTGACGTTCAATAAGCTTTAATCTGGTTGGGAATCTTCCTTTACTTTTATTTACCTTTTTTTTTTCTTTATTTATTTTAGAGAGAGAGGAAGGGAGACAGAGAGATAGAAACATCGATGAGAGAGAACATCGATTGGCCGCCTCCTGCATGCCCCCCACTGGAGATCCGGCCTACAACCTGGGCATGTGTCCTGACCGGGAATCAACAAGGTGACCTCTTGGGTCAGTGCTCAACCAGAGCCGTGCCGGCCGGGTGGGAATCTTTCTTTATTTTGTAGCACACAAATATAAAATTTTCACAAGACAAATCCTTTTTCTTCATTTTGAAACTCATGTTAACCCTTGCAAAATAGTAAGACACCCTTGAGGGTCATCAAGTTTAAAATGACTATGCTTCAAAAAGCAACATCAAAAGAAAAGACAACCGCCCTGGCCGGTTTGTCTCAGCGGTTACAGCGTCAGCCTGCGGTCCAGAGAGACCCGGGTTCGGTTCCTGCTAAGGGCATGTACTTCAGTTTCAGTTTGTCCCCGGCCCAGGTTGGGTTGTGCGGGTGGCAAGCACTCGATGTGTCCCTTTCATGTCGATGTTTTTCTCTCTCTCTCTCTCCCTCCCACTCTATCTGAACAAAATATGGAAAAATGTCCTCGGGTGAGGATTAAAAAAAAAAAAGACAACCTACAGAATGGGTGAAAATGTTTACAAATCATATATGTGATAAAGGACTTGTATCCAGAATATATAAAGAACACTTACAAATCAACAATAAAAAGATAACCAATTACCAATGGGCAGAGGATCTAAATAGACATTTCTCTGAAGAAAATATACAAATGACCAAAAAGCACATGATGTTCAATGTCATTATTCATTAGAGAAATGTAAACAAAAACTACAATGGGATACCACTTCACTCCCACTAGAATGGCTGGAATTTAAAAAAAAAAGGCAATAACAAATGTTGATTTCCATGTGGAGAAACTGAGAATGGGATATGATGCGGCTACTTTGGAAAAGTCTAGCGGTTCCTCAAAAAGTTACACATAGGGTTACCACTTGACCCATATTACACCCAGGAGAAACAAAAACATGTCCACACAAAAAACTTGTACATGAAATGTTTACAGCAGCACGACCAAAGAATGGAAATAACCCAAATGTCCATCAGGTGATGAATATATAAACAAATGTGGTATGTCCACAGAGTGGAATGTTATGTAGCCATAAACAGGAACGAAATACTGATACATGCATGAACCAAGAAATTACATTATGCTAAGTGTAAGAAGCCAGTCGCAAAAGACACATATTGTATGATTCCATTCATATTAAATGTCCAGAATAGACAATTCTAGAGAGACAGAGAGAGGATGGTGGTTGCCAGGGGCTGGGTGGATTGGGGTATGACTGCTGATGAGTATGGTGTTTCTTTTTGAGGTGATAAAAATGTTCTGAAATATTTTGTGATGGTTACACAACTCTTTGAATATACTAAAAAACACACTGAACACTTTTAGAGGGGAGACTTTATAATATGTGAATTGTATCTCAATTTTTTAATTGATTTTTATCCCTTTATTCTCTTAGTAATTCTGGCTATTACTGTTTTTTTAATCAAGTAAACAAATGGACAAAGAAAAATATTAAAATCATTTTAAAGTCCAGCTGGTGTGGCTCAGTGGTTGAACATCGACCCATGTACCAAGAGGGCACCAGTTTGATTCTTGGCCAGGGCACATGCCCAGGTTGTGAGCCCGATCCCCAGTGGGGTGCATGCAGGAGGCGGCCAGTCGATGTTCTCTCTCATCGATGTTTCTCTCTCTCTCTCCCTTTCACTTCCTCTCTCTCAAACAATCAATAAAGAAAAAAAAAATTAAAATTCTTTTAAAGATTCAGATGGGAGAATGTGGGAGAAAGAAACAAAGGATCCGTGGAAATTAATCAAACTACGCCTATGTATTGAATAGTAACTTCGCTGACAGCCAGACTCTTACGATCTATATTTGCACCCACTGCAGTGACTCCTATGTCGATTCCTATAAATGTAGTGTATACAGACATGAGCGCTCCTCCTATCACCACTATCACTGCTTCTACCCGTCTTCCCTATCTTATCATCTTAGTCCTCATTGGTATCATACTTATTGATGATTTACTTGAAGGCAGAAAACACCTTTTTCTTTTCTCCCTTTCTCATAGGCTAAATTTTGCAGTGCTGAATCAATGTCAGATCACAGAAATGAAGTTGGATGGCACTTTTGATGTACTCCATAGATACTCATCTATGTTGTGTGTCAATTTCAACTAATAGGGAACTCACTACCTCGGCAAGCCACCCATCCCATCTTAGGGTAGTTTCATTTTTGCTAAGGTTTTCTTTGGATGACTGGATAGGAAATATGTACAATCAAATATTAATAGCATGTTAACGGGGCAGAATTGTGTCATTTTTTTCCTCTGCTTTCTAAATTTTGAGTCACTTATTTAGCGGATGCATACCATGCACCAGGGGCTTTGCGAGGCTGGCTAGGGGAGTGCAGATTTGCAAGTCTGCCTATACCCACAAATTAAATGAATTATTTATTTGTGAAGCACTTGGGACAATACCTGTTACTTAGTAAATGTCATCTTTTTTTTTTTTTTTTTTAATAGAGTGGGAGGGAGGGAGAGAGTGAGAGAGAAAGAAACATCGATGTGATAGAGCCACATCGACTGGTTGCCTCCTGCACGACCCGACCAGGGCGGGAAAGAACCAAAACCGAGGTACGTGCCCTTGGCTGGAATCGAACCCATGACTCATCAGTCCGCTGGCTGAACACTCCAACTACTGAGCCAAACCGGCCAGGGCAATAGGGTCTTTCTTAAATAAAAACAATAACCCATGGTCTAGTATGGAAGATGGATACATAAAGAAATAATTCTAGCCCTGGCCGGTTTGGCTCAGCGGTTGGAGGATCAGCCTGCAGTCCAGAGAGACCCGGGTTCAGTTCCCGCTGAGGGCACATACGTTGGTTGCAGTTTGTTCCCAGCCCTGGTTGGGTCGTGTGGGTGGCAGCCACTCGATGTGTCCCTTTCGCGTCGATGTCTGTCTCTCTCTCTCTCTCTCTCTCTCTCCCCCCCCCCCCGCCCCCCTCCCTCCCTCTCACTCTGTCTGAACAAAAAATGGAAAAATGTCCTCGGGTGAGGATTAAAAAAAAAAGAAATAATTCCAATAGAGGCATGTAGATGATAGGGAAACACGGAGGACAGATGGAATGATCTGAGAAGTCTTCATTAGAATTTGGGTCTTGAAAGATGAGAAAATCTGAGTGAAGGCAAGGAGACCAGAATGGCCTGCTGTCGTGTGTGGCTGCCCAACAGCATTTGAACATGTCGCTACATTTATCACACCCTCACAGTGTCAGTCCCACCTCGCCAAGGAAGAATTAATAAACACTGCATTTGCCGGGCACCCTTATAACTAGGGTACAGGCATGTGCCCGCGTTTCCACCAATGAAACGCAGTTAAAGGACGTGGAGATTCAGAAACCAACTATGTAAGGAAGGAGGCCACTAGTAAGCCATCCATTTTGCTGGCGTTGTTGGCAAGAGGTGATGTGGTTATGGAACTGATGGCAGCAGCTGCACCTTTTTCATCATGACAGTTTGACCAAGTGGTTTTGGAGTGGCAACAGCTCCTTAATTGGACTGTATTTCAGTTGTGTGGTTCTGGAAGTCATTCCTATAATGATATCTGGAGCCTGTGTCTGCAGCCTATCTGGTCCAAGAGAGCTTCCTAATATATCTTTATAGTGTTTTTGTTTTTCCTATTTAAACTAGCCAGAATAGATTCTCTTATGTTCCATAATTTGAGCTTTTAAAGTAATTCAAGTGACTAATGATGAGAGTCTGAACTAAGAGAGATGGTAGTCAGATTGGACAGAGGGAACAAACTCGACAACCATGTAAATATTTTTCGAAGGCAGCATTCCCTCCTTCGGGATAAAGTATACCTACCAGCTTCAACTTATCTTCATGTGACATGGCTTCGCATCCCTCTCTCTCTCTCTCTCTCAAATATTCTGTGTTTGATAAACCAAGGAAGGAAAGCACTTCCACCTCCTTCATCTTGAAATACTATACCTCTATGGATTCAGCCCCTGATTTTTATACCTACTGGCAAGCACATCAATCTGCTGACTCACACTGTGTTTGTTTCCATCAAAACCCCTAAGTACTGCCCACATATGCTAGGCTATGGCTCTACTGCCTCAAAACATTCTGGTTAAATTAGTCTCCTGCAGATGTGGTTAGCATAAATCTGCATACCCCAAGAGTAGAAGGGACTCTGGACATTGACAAAATTGAGTGTCTGGATTTGTGAACTTCACGCCAGGCCTAAGAGTGCGGTAGTGCCACCTCTGGCAGTCCCAGGTAGAGAATCCGC